AGAAAAAGAATGCAGACTGAAGCATATTATTTGCTTTCTCTCTCTCTTTTTTTTGGTTTGTTTCTTCTTTCTCGTGGTTTCTCCCTTGGTTCTAATTCTTCTTCTTTTTTTCGTTTTTGATTTTTTTTTTTTGGCGAGACAATTGGGGTTAAGTGACTTGCCCAGGGTCACACAGCTAGTAAGTGTCAAGAGTCTGGTCCAAGACCTATTTGAACTCAGGTCTTCCTGACTCCAGGGCCAGTATTCTATCCACTGCACTACCTAGCTGCCCCTCTAATTCTTCTTTACAACACGACCAATGTGAAAATAGGTTTAATATGAATGTATATGTAGAGCCTACATCAAATTGCATGCCGTCTTGCGGTGGGGGGAAGGGAGAGATGGGGAGAAAATGTGGAACTCAAAATCACATGGAAGTGAATGTTGAAAACTAAAAATAAATAAATTTTTAAAAAATGCTTGGTGATTGGGAAAAAAAAGAATGTGATATAAGCAAATACAAATTTGTGTAAAATGAAATCCAGAAATCTTATCTTTATTGGGAAAGAGAATTTCTCCCTAGGATCTCCCTATGTGATATCACAGATTTTTAAAAGTGTTAATATCAATGGAAGTATCAGGGAAAGCCCCACTACTATCATGACAATGTCAGATTGTTGGCTACATTATAAATATAACTTCTAAACTAAATAACTAAAAAGGTTCAGAGCAAATTAGTGCCATCGTTCACCTTTACATATATATATAAGTTCACCATTAATAACATACTATATTAATCTAGTGCCATATAAACAGCTCCAAGTGTTTTACTGACACTAATACACAATTTATAATATCCCAACAAGAAATGAATGAAATAAAATTGGAGCAACTCAGCTGGATATCTGAATAGATGTGCTTTCAGTTGCCTAAGTCAGGCCCAAACTATTCTCAACAACTAATATAAATGTAGATACTTTTTCATATTGTACCATCAAAACAAGTCCCAAAATCCGATTACGATTTTTCTTTATCTCAAACCAAGCCAAATTTATTCAAAAGTGCCTACTGTTGTTTCTCAGCCTGTGACCTATGAACTGACTGGCAGTAAATTAAGCTTTCAGCACTAAGTAGAGGCTTAGCAATACCTGCAATATCCAATTCTTCCTCAACAAATCAGTAAAGACTTGGGGAATCCAGAGAAAGGAAATACAAGATTAGCCAGGGCTGCTGAATGCTCCTTCTTTGCTTCTGTTCCTATTTATTATGAGGATTACTTCCGTTAGAAAAATTCTCATCGAAAGGACCACAAAGTCTGGGAACTACTGAACTAAGTGACAATAACTTCAGATACAACTGCCAATAAGTAAACCTTTTTCTCAGTGAATATTTACAACTTTAATACAGTTCTTTACCTTTTCCCTGTGGGAGAATCTTGTCCAATTCCATAAGCAAGGAGAGCTGCAGATGGTTCATGAATTAATCGCAAAACATTAAATCCAGCTGCCCCAGCTGCTTCCCTGTGAACAATTTGCTTTCACTGTATTTAATGTCACTTAGAAACTATTCAACTGTAACAGTTCTTAGTATACTAAAGATTTTATATGATAACTATTATTTCAACAAACAGGACATAAAGATGAAAAGTAACTCAGTAAACTGCAATCATGATACTTTAAGGATTGCTCTAAAAGAGACACATACCAGTTTTTAGGAGCGATATGCAAAAATACATGAGATACAGACGTTGCTACATGAAAATAGATTTTTTTTTGCTTAAAATGGCATGTTCCACAATCTACTTTAATGGGCAAGATGTTAAATTTGCTCACTTGAAAATGAACAGAGAATTTCCAAAATGCCTAACTTTGTAAACTTTCAGGTAGAATTAAAACAACTTTAATACCAAATCTTGCCAATAATTTAGAAGGCTTAAAATTTCAAAAAAAAAAAAAAAAAAAAAAGAGTTGCATTAGTAAGTATTTGCCTTGTGGGGCTTTCACAGATATTGAAGTTCATACCTGGAACTCTATTCCTACAGAGCTGTGTGTAATCTCCGATTACATTTATCTAAAATTAATTGGAACCTTATTTTATAGATTTAAAACTCAACATGGGTTAAAAAGTGATGCAAAAGTATTCTAAAGTTGTTTATTTCCATAAAATTTTTAAAGCATGAAATTAAATCTAAATGATTTATAAAGGGCCAAAATAAGACACTAGTTAAAAAAGTGTCATCAATCAAACCAATTAGAAAAGAACCATGTCTAATTTTATGTTCTACTGACATTTCACTAAATGACATTAGATTCAAATCTGATTTCACCTTTAGCTATGTGAAGTTTTAAAAATTTTAATTCCAAGAGTTTTTAACTCCTTTAATCAACCAAAAAAGAAAATACCTCATTCTACTTACCCAAGAGCATTCTTTTGGTTTTCTCCAAAATCAAACGGGACAGTAATAACTACATCACTGACATCTGAGCCCAAGGCAGACTGTGCAGTTTCTGTTTACACATATACATACACAAACATTTTTAAAAATACATTGTACTGGTTTAAAAAAAAGAGTGAATAGTAGCATCAGACATCTGTGATGTCAAATACTTCCTTAACAAACCACTTTTTGCAATTCATACCTTATCTCCCTAGCCTACTAATTTTCTTCCCCAGTTTTCCAGATGATGGGCCTTTGGTATCAGCCACTCTAAAAAGCAGTCTGTTTTAAGTGGTATGAGTTCCAAACAGGTAAATAGAATGTTTCAGCATTGTTTAGGTGTCAGGAATGCAGTTCTATCTCCAAAACTCATCAAAGAATAACATTTGAACTGGAAAAGATTTTTCGCAGAGGTTCAAGGACGTGAAGTAGCTTGTCCAAGATCACCCAGCTATTTTGAGGGATAGCCAAAGACTAGAAATGGGGTGACCTGAAATCTACTCCAATGTTTTTTTGACTATGCTACTATTTCACACAGCTCAAAAATGCTTTTCTTCCAATTGAAGCCCACTTAAAAGGATGATGTGAGAAACTTCTATTTTATGGACTTTATTCAATACCTTTCATTTTACTAAATATCAGCTTTACAACATCTTCTGGGTTAACAAGTTTGGTTTCTTCTCCAGTATCTATTTCGTATTGGAATTTTCCATTTTTTTCAATGACCTATGAAGAAAAAAGCATAATTAAGTTAAATAATAAAATAATTTTTCTACAAAAAAAGCAAGTTCCTAAACAAAGTTAGGTGACGGATGACCATCAAAATTATCTAGTGTTCTGGGAATAATAGGATTATACTCACTGGACATTTACTTTCTGTAATGTACTTCTGTACCTGCAGGTCACCAGGGCTGTCAATATAAGAAAAAAGAATGCTATGTATTAAAGTCCATATTATCAAAACAGACTAAAAATTATAATTTGATTTCCCCCAGTATCACTGAACTTTAATCATAAAAATATGTCAAGATGTTAATTCAACATTCTCTAAATTTTATAAGAAGATAAAACAGGGTTAAACAAGACATAGTTATTATAGTAAGATTTTTTAAAAAGTATACATATTCTTCATTTCCTGTTCTGACTGTACTACCAGGAGTGGAATTTATGTTGGGTGGTAAATTTTTATCCCATTGATGACTTTCTGTTAGTTTTACTTGTGATCCCATGGTCCCAAACCACAAAATTAAGATGGATTAAGAAGGCTAGAGAATCTATGGTTGCAACCCAGGCCATCAAACCTACTTTAACCTACTGCGATATTTACACATTTGAGTGTCTGAACATTGCAAAAACAACCCCCAAATTATGAGATAGAAGCAACAAACCTATATACCTGTACCTATGTAGAAAATGTGACAGGATGGCAGACCGAAGAATGCAGTCAAATACATGATGAGGAAAAAAGAGAGAGAAGCAAATACAAGTCAGAAAAAAAGATGGGCAGGAGTTATAAAATACCCTATAAGTAGGCACTCAATACTTCTTTTCAACTTGATACAATGAAAACATTGGGGAGCAATGAGACCAGTGAAACCTCTGAAAGCACTTTCTTCACTTTTGAAGGCAAAAATGGTATATATCCTAGTCCTAAGGCAGAAATTAGTATCCTAAGAGGAACTTCTGCAGCCCAGAGATCATCCTGTGAGGTAATTACTATGGTTATTTCATTTTTTAAAAAAGTGAAGTCTGAAGGATTTATCAAAGGAGCTAGACAAGAAATGATTCAATTGCCAAAGAACAAACAACTTTCAAAAACCGCCCCTTTGAACAAATTTAACTAAAGCATCTCATAACTGTTTTCCAATTTCTTCTACTCTCATCAAATTTTCTCTATCCTTTCTTTCAGGTTCTTATCTACTAAACATGGCTATCTATAAAAGAGGATGCCCCTCCAAAGCTTTTAAAATTAAAGCTGCATGTCTAAATTGGCCTTCACTTCGTTTAGTGACTCAACAGACAATATGATTGAGATAAATTTTGACTATTATGTACAGAAAGTGTATGTCAGACAAAGAGGCAAGCAGCAGGGTAGGATTTGGTGAATTCACTAATTAGGGTCCTGTTTTTATTTCTATTGCCAAAAGGAATCCCTGTATTATCTGAAGAAAAGTCCCCTACTTTCCATCAAAGCCTGTCAGTAAAAGACAATGGATTTAAACTTCATTCTCAGTCCTAAGAATACATCTTGGATCAGTTAATATTTTCGGTTGTAATAAAGACATCCACCTGACAAAGTCTATTTGGTTTTGAACCCTGAAAAATAGTGATAGAATTCAAATTTTTGTGCTTATGGCACATATATAGCATGGGACCAAAAAGCTTGTTTTGAACAGTAATTTAATCAACAGAGGTGATTTCTATTCTAATCTTATGAGGAACTCACTTCTCTCACCTGACTTTTGGAGGAAGCATAAATACCTCTTATAGATACATATGGAAAGGTAAGTGAAAAAGAAAGCAGGAATGGAGAAGATAAAGGAATGAATATGAATATCTAAGGAAGCAGTGGATTGGCCACAACTGTATACAAGTAAAAACTTTATTTGTTCACATCAGGATTCAGTTATTAAACAGAAAAAAACAGACTATGGGGGTTGGTACAACGAGCACCTCATGCACATCATGGTTTCTGGAAGGCAGAAAGGAAGTCAGTTCTGGCCCATCTCCCCCAACCTTTAATGGATGGATAGGATTCTCTTCCTCCCTCTCCATAGGCTTCGCCTATATATATAGTTCTTGCCCAGAGGCTTTGCATACACCACCACTGATGTGATATGGGTCTCCAACTTCACCAATCCTTTACAGTTATATAGTGCTTTAAGTGTTTAAAGCACTTTCAAATTCTTATTTCATATAATCCTCACAACAGCCCTGTGAGGTAGGACGGTTATTATTGTTTATCCCCCTTTCACAGATGAGGACCCTCAGGCACTGAGTGGTGAAATGACATGCCTATGGTTATGTAATGAGATGGGACTAGGACCCAGGCAAAAACCTGACTCCTAGTCACACCCTTTACCATTTAAGATACTATTCTCTCCTGATTATCTGCATATTTTCTCTTCACTCCTTCAATAACTTTCAACACATATTCCTCTTTATTCTGCCTACTCTCTAAGTACTCCTGAGACCTATACCTTTTACATACACCACCTGGCTAACTTCGTCTGCTTGGCCATCAAGTCAGTACAACCAAGATAGTATTTCTCATGGTTGTAGCTCCACCTCTCCACCCATGTTCTTACGCATCTCACTGATAGCCCTGTTTCACTACCAACAGCTTAGCATGCCAAAGGCTGAGCTCTTTATATCAAGCAATCTCTTCCAGGGAAGCCTACTTAATCTTGGCTTCTTTAGATTTATATACCTCCACATGAGGGCTCTCAAAAAGAATTTTTAAAAAGTGGTCTAAAAATGAGTAATTCACCACCTTAATATACTCTTTGAAAGTAGGGATGGTATCTTTGATATTTTATATGGAATTTAAGAGATCAGTGCCTTAGTAAATATTAAATTAAACCCTCCTTCACTGCCCTTTAAAAGTAATTTAAAACAAATTTTCAGATACGTATTACATATTTACCGCAAAAGCTAAAATTTCATTAATTTTTGTTAACATTTGAATCATAACTTTTGAGAGCTGGAAAGAATCTTTAAAAAATTTTCAAGTCCAACTCTAACATTTTCTAGATGAAGAAGATACAGAAAGGTTAAGTGTCCAAGGGTACAAAGCAATATAACGATAAGAGCCAAGAATAGAGCTGAAGTATCCTGGTTCCTATTCTAGAGCTCTTTCCACTATACCAGCTTTCCTCCCACATTCATTACTCAATATATGACATTTATCATAGTAGACTGCATGTCTATTATCTCTCCAAGGTGCTAAACTTGCACTAAATGTTCTCATTTTGTCTCTGTGGTGTTTTGGACAGTCCCTGTCCCCTATTACACCCCCCAATTTTCAGGCAGATACTTAAGTCACACATTAAAAAAAAAAAAAAAAAGATGTTTCCCCCGCCACAGACAATTAAAATTCTGGAAAGCCTCATCAATTTAAAAAGTCTCTTGTATGTATCACCACCTCCTTCTCCCTCCCACCCCCTTGAAAAGATTAACAAACAAAATAATCTCCTAAATTAATTCACAAAATGTAAAAGCTCTAGCTGGGTTTAATGATTGCAGACAATGGTTTCCTCTTGGAAAGTAAATTTAGAGATAATAGGCACACCACCCCAAAATATTTTTTTGTTTTGTTTTTACAATCTTTTGGTCTCTTGTAAATGAAGAACACTGAATAGAAATTCAAGGTCTACTAAGTATTACAGAGAAATGATTTAAAAACAAGGACAAAAAGGTTTGCTTTAGGGTCTGTGCTTCAAAAGAACAGTGATCTGTTCAAGAGAGTCTCCATCCACTCCATTCCTAACAGGTGCAGGAGATGTTATGCTTTGGTCTCACACGTTATTAGCCATTCAACTAGGTGAACCAACAGTGGAGAAAGTATGATTTTAACAGGTTCCCTAGATGGGAAGTTTTCCAAGGCATGCCCTCTAACACACACTAGACAGAAAAGCTGCTAGCCTAGAAAAATGAAATCAGCTTGAAGCAGAGCAGGGAAACTAACAATCCAAGTCATTTGTTTCTAGAAAGCTCAGATGGTAACAAACCAAATTAATTACTAATATATATTTATGCACATAAAGGAACTACATAATATGAAATGCAAAGTATTTACTTACATTTAAAACTTTATATAACATTCAATATTTCATTTCACCACAGATCATTCATCAATATGGAAACATGACATCACACTATTGCAGTTCCCTGTCAGTCATTAATTCTACCCCCCTAGTGGTGCAATAGGAACTAGATGAATGAAAAAAAAGAGGGGGATGGGGAAGGAGCTAATCTGGTTGCTATAGTTTGTATTACATGTCAAGATGTGATATAGTTATAGCAGTGAAAAATGTATTCAAAAGGGTACATATCATTTGCAACCACTGTATGATTGTAGAGGGATTTAAAAAAAAACAGCAAGGAATCACTCTATGTAGCAGTCAAGTAGAATTAAAAAAACAAAAAAACAAACAAACAAGTGGTGGGTGCAGGGCTCAAAGAATGAGGTTACTGCTAATAACCGCATTTTTATATACCTGGCAATCTGATGTGCCTCATCCCAGGCTTGCCTCAGCCAAGGTCACATTTATGAATAATACCTTACATTTACACAGTATACTTTTCTAAATGCTTTCACATCTACTATCCATTTGAGCCTCACAACAACCCTGTGAGGTAGGTATGACAGGTATTATTATTCCCCTTTGTACATAGCAGGATATCGATGCACAGGGAGATGATCTAAATTGCCTAAGAACTTGGGGACACACGGGAAGTCAAGGGCAGAAGCAGGACTAGAGACTTCCTGACTTCCAGCCGCAGACTTTTTCTAAATACCATGCTGGCCCACATATTTCTGGAGAGTCCTCCATTAACTAGTAATGGGCTTCCAGGAAAGGAACTGGCCTGTGTATGTACTCCTGTTGCTCCACAAATATATGGTTCATCTTCCCTCTTTCTGAGGGCCAGTTGCACAAGAAAAGATGTCAGGGAACATTGAGGGCAGCCATTAGAAAGCAGATGTTACTACTACTAGTTTAGGGAATAACTTTCTTACAACAGGCCCCTAACTTTTGGTGCTTGAAATTAACTTCTGAAGCAATTTTTCCAGTCCTAGCTGAAAAGCACCAGTTGCTTCTTCTACTGCTGTAGCCAAACGTCTGACTGCAATTACAGCATCCCTGCGGAGCTCATTGGCCGTGTCTTGCTGGGCACTGGCCTCCTCACCAATAGCAATCAGCCTGTCCAGTTTTTCTTCCTCACGCTTGGAAAGTTCTCGTGCCAGTCTCCTGTTTTCTGCCAACTCAGCAGCAATGGTCCTCGCCACTGAACGCCTTCTACGCCGTGCCCACCTTGGGGGTGGTTGGTTGGTGAAAGTCCCATCCCCACCAGAAACAAGATGGATTCTAGAGGAAGAGGCTTGGGGCTGTTGGGTGGAGGCTATACCAAGGGTGTTGCGGCTGGTGCTGGCGCAGGGACCCGGCTCACAGGACACACCCACTCTGGTCACAGTGCTGCTATGACAGGGAGCAACTGCACCTCTGTAAAGGCTGTGGGAGCTGCTGTAGCTGGGGATCGCTTGAGAGCAGCCTGCAAAACAAAGCAACAATGTTGCAAAGTGGACTTTTCTGCTAAGGGAATGCTTTGAAGCCAGCAGCAGAAAACAGCCGCAAATAGACTACGATAGCTCCTGGAAGCCGCCCTTTTCACTTGGGTTAGGAAGGAATCCAGGCCCTGGCTTTTGGAGTTACGAGGATAAAGTTGCTATGCCTATACAATCTTTCCCCAACCTTCATGACCCCCTCCTCTTACCTATCCAAACTGTGAATCTAAAACTACAAATTCTTTACAGTAATCTAAAGAAATAATGCTGTCACAACTTTGGATTTACTTAGAATTTCATCTTCTGGGATTCAGAGTCCTAACCTGTGATGACAGACCCAAGTGCGTGGGCTTTTGAAGCCAATAGTTCGTACATCCACCCATCCCTAAACCAATGATTCACTAGGCTTGAGGAAGACCACTGGCAGGACCCCACCCCCCAACCATGCACTTGGTGCCTAAGACCATGGCATTGTAGGACCCCAATATTTTCTCACTCTTGGGAGTTACCTGCACCTGAGGCTTCATCCCAGGAATCCTCAAGGTCACCGGTTTCAGGCAGCTGGTTACCGATTCCCACACTTAGGTGACAATTCTCATCTGATTCCTTAGCTGCTCTCAAGATAGTTTGATGATCTGCTGCCTGATTCCTCTTTGCCTTCAAGTTGCTGTTTCCCTCTTCCCCTGGGAGGTCAGAGGCTACTAAGTTCTGATCACATTGCTTGGTCCAGACAGCATCCTCCATTAAATTATCTGGGTCAGTCACTACCTGATTTCGGAGAAGCTGATCCAGTGTATCATAAAATGGGCAGTGTGGAGGGTCACCCATACTGGTGGCATGGGCAACATAAGCCTTTAAATATAAAGCCTTCAAAACTTTAAACTTGGAGCGGCACTGACGTTCTGTGCGGCGGAAACCTTCCTGATGCATTCGTTTTGACACAGCCTGATAGACATCTGCATTATGGTGGACAGTCTGGAGGCGCTGAATATACTCTGCCTCACCCAGTATGGCCAGAAGAGTACGTGTCTCCTGTCTGGACCAGCGGATGCCCGCACTGCTATTGGTAGTGGCCATTGTGGAATGGGAAACTGTTGAAGGCTCCTGAGCATCAAGATGCAACAATGAAGACTTGGGGGAAGCTCTGTGTGGTCTCAGTATATTTCCTGGAGCCAGTTGCTTCCTCCTTCTCGGGACTAATTGCTGTGGAACCAGGTCCAAGGACCGCATGTCTGGCTAGAAGGCCAGATGGGCATGAGTTACATGGAGGGTGTAAGGAAGACTTTGGCATCAAGTTAGATGGTACTACTGGTGAGTAGTTCATTGATAGGCATGGGGCCAAGGCTGAGTAAGCCTGGCTTTGGGAGTAAGCCTGGGATGGATGTTGGGAGACCAATAAAGCACTCTGTGGGCGTGGCAACTTGAGGGCTGACTCCTCCACAGAAGGTTGGGTTGCCTCCAAGGCCAAGACCTGGTGACTATAACTATGTCTGTAAAGATTCTGTTTGGTAGAAAGGGAACTTGTAGAAAATAGGGCCTGGAGAATGAGGCAGCCAACTCTGGAGAAGCCATAGCAGCCCACTGCTGTCAGTGTGCCCTAAGGACACAGGTTTTACTAACCTTGCTAGACTGACCGCAAAGTACCAGGAGAGAGCCACAATGAGATGGCTACCTGATTGGCACTGTTACTTAGAGGCATCTTTTTAGGTGACCCGAAAAGCATTAAGTTACCTTTGCTAGCACAGAGTTTCTAGAAACTTTTTTGAAACTGGAAATATGACAGAAGCTAGTCATTTGTAATTCTGGCTGTTTGCAACACTTCCCCCTCTACCACCCCAATCCTGTTGGGTACTTAAAAAGCTTCAAACCAATGAACCTGTCTATACTTGCCTGACTTGGGGGTGGAATTTAGGGCCTAAAAACTACTGGCACTTATGTTTTGTTTTCAATAAGCTGAATTTTTCTACTTATGGCAAAAAAGGGTAGTGTGGAAATGTAGTTGTCACAACAAAATTGTGCACTACTACACCCCACCCCTCCAAAAATCCCTGTATTTTGGTTTTGGCTAGTGCAGAGACAGCCTAAGAAGAAAAAATAACATGAGTTCAATTTAACCAAGACAGGTAATTGATCATTTTGATTAAGATTCCTGCATCTACACAGGGAATGAGGCTTAAAACTAATTCATTTATGAGCCCAACTTCAGAATTTTAAGTTAATTTCTACTCAAAATTCTCCATGTAGCACCTTGGAAAGAGACTGTGATTAAAGTCAGAAGACCAATAAATTCTAGTTATTTCACTGTGAAACATTAGACAAACTAGAAGCTCAGTGCCTCAGTTTCCTCATCTGTAAAACGCGTTAATAACTGCTCTTTCAAACTCAGAGCTGGTATGAAAATAAAAAAAGATGTGGAAGTGTTGTGAAAATTTAAAAGCGCTATGTAAAGTATTATTATTACAAGGATATAAAACCTTTAATTATTATTGTAATCTATAATTTCAGGAGACAGAAGTCTGGGAAAGCAAGTCTCTTTAATCTTTTAATTAAAGTTAGAGCAGTGGATGATTAACTTGATTCTTATTTAAGACATTAATTAAGTTGTTTCTACAATGATTAAATTTGCACGTTAAGAGACAAACAGGAAAAGTTAGTCTAGAGAAGAACCTACACAAAGGCACTGTTAATAGAAGACTGACATCTACTGAAGCTGTCACCAAAAAATTCAACTGTACTAAAATAAAATTCTCCAAGTTTCTTCTATATTATCTTGTTTCATTATCATCACCACTCCACCTCCCCTAAATATTTAACTCAAAAATGTCAAAAGTTCCTATTATCTCCACTGAAATAATACAGAAATATTTGTTTACTATGTTCCAAAGCCACAGTGCGTAATGGAAATGTTAATGGGTGACAATTCATAAAGACAGAGAGACCTAACATCATAAATTAAAGCAAGTAAGTATCCCATTATGTTGCTCTTGATAATTCCCCAATTACAAATGCAGTAACATAATTCCAGAGTTACTATTTTCACATCACAATTTGATTACAAACCTCTCTTCCTGAGAGAAATGTATAATTTCATATTAAGATCGAGCTCCTTACCTTCTGCCAAGGATCTGCTTTACTTTCATAACTGTATTTGAAATATTTCTTATTCTACTTTGTTTTGCTGCCAAACCAACAACCTGCAAAAGAGCCATAAATTAAAATGTATCTAATTTTTGATTACTACAAAGTAAAGAAGTCTGAAGGGACTAATACCTCTTCATTTTCTGAATAAGCAACCACAGCTGGTGTGACTCTGTCACCTGCATCATTAGCAACCACATGTGCTCTGCCATCCTAGGGAGAGATATGAAAAAAAAAAAAGAAACAGTAATTTTAAGTGACACAATGATTATGTGAGCTTACAGTGTTGTGACTGTATTTCTTACGTGGATAGCTGCATATTCTTTACACAATCTGGCCTTATCCAAGGGGACATCTTGGTGCTAAATAAATATTTTAGACTTCAGCAATGTATTATCATTATTCATTTAACAGAGTTAAATGGGCGCTTGCCCTTCCTTAACTAGAAGACGCCCTCTATACTGAATCCACCCATTTCTTTTTGGTGTCCTCTGCACAGACAATAATTGGTTAATGCATCCTATGTGAAATAACAACCTTCCTTACAACACTGAAAGATCATTATTAAGTCACCCTCTCCGCCCCCACACCCACACACTTTCTTTTCTCCGGATTAAGTAATACTAACCCTATGGGAGCTGTTTTTTTCCTGATAGATCCTATTTTCAGAAGGGATAAAACTGGTGGCAGGAAAAAACAAAAACCCTGTTCATCTCTCTTCTCGAAGGAGCTGACAGAAGGGCCCGATCCCCCCTCCCACCCGCATCCCCCAGGCCCTCCAACGCCGCTTTCCCTACTTAGGACTCGGGAAACCTTCCATGTTAAACAGACCAAGTAAGAAGCCATACTCACCCACGCTCCCCTCCAGAGTCAAAGCTCTAGCACAGAATGCAACAGTTCTGGGTCGCAGGCCGAGGCTACCCCGCCCTTCCCTCCCTCGCTCCCTCCCGCAGGAGTTTGGAGAAGCCCCGGAACCTCCGAGTTCTGACCCCAGAACACCCCCCTGCCCTCCTCCCAGTCTCGCCCCCGCCCGACGCCGGGGCCAAGGGTCCACGTCAGGAGCATGCTACCGTGACGTCACTCCACACCTCCCGTCACCGTCCCGCGACCCTCCTTGGCGCCAGGCGCGTCTCCCCCCCCCCGCAGAGATCGGCCTGAGGTGGGGGATGGGGGGTGAGAGAGGGAATAGAGAGGGATTTGGGAAGGTTGGATATGAAGGGTGAAGACGGAAGAGGAGGGGGGGTCAGAAAGTCGAGAGTCTAGCACCGGCCCGAGGCGTCCTTCGGCTTTCGCTACCGCAGAAAGGCGACCCTGGGCGACATTACCCCCGGCCTGGCCCTCCAGGTAACCAAAGGAAGGGATCAACCCCCGAGTCTGGGGAGACTTTAGCAAGCCGATTTTCTCTGCGCCGCCGCCGTCCTCCCTTACCTTATAGACGGCCACACAAGCAGATGTGCAGCCCAGGTGGACTCCGATGGCCGCCATGAGGCTGCGGCGGCACGGGCTGCTCTCACAACGGCGGTCGCTACCGGTCTCGGAGCAGCCCCATCAAGCACCGCGGTAACCACACGCTTCCCCCTCCCTTCCGCCCAGCCTGCCCATTCAATCCCACGGCTGCCTAAGGCCTTCTCCGCCAATCAAGACCAAACTCCCGCCTCGCTACGCAGGGGCCGGGCGAATCGTGAGGCGTCGCGCCTGCGTCGGTTTCCTCTCCAAGGTACGAGCGCCCAGCGCGTGGAGGAGAGCGCAAGCGCCAGTTGAAAAGAGGAGGTGGGGGTGTTGACGCCTGGGAGAGAGGCTCCATTGCTTCATCCCCCTTTTCCGAGATAAGCCAATGGGAACTAGAGTTTACGTTTACGTAATTCTTCCTAGCAACTAAGGGCAAATTCTGTGCGGCAGCAGGTTCTCACTTTCCCCTCTCTGCTGGTGCCTTGTATAGAATAGTGAGAGCCCTGGTTTTTGCGTTTCTGTCTGACCGTGGGTGGCCCGCACAATTGAAACTTTTTCTCAACATGCAGCCCTCGACCCCAGCTGCATTCACAGCCCTTACCCTGTCTGCCTATCTTTTTGCCGCCGACCCCATAGCTGTTCGGGGGCAAGGTTCCCCGGTGCGCGTGGGGGCCGACTGTGAAGGTGAGCGGGGGTGAGACTGAACTTGCATGGTAATGGCGCTGAGCTGCAAGGACTGCAGCTGTTGCTTGCACTGCATTCTCCCTGCCTGGCTTATGCTATAAATAACTAGGAGCAGGAGAATGCAAGTGTCTCCACCCGCAAAGTTTTTTTTTTTCGTCCCTTGTTTCAAAAACCATTTGTTGGGTGTGCTGTTAACAACCTGGCCAGCTCCCCAACCTTTCCCCCCTCCCCCGAAAGACAGAAAAAGGAAACTGTCTCCCAGAGGGATAGTAATTAAATTATGGGATTCTGAAATTACCTTTGCGATCTAATAGTATGTGTTATGCGGTATATACATATATTAGAGGGTTTGTCTTAGTTCTCATTGAGATGGGGAAGAGACAGAGAATGAGAATCTTTAGTTCAGATCAATTACTTTGTCTCTGAGACACTAAGCCCGGGACACTGAGAGGTTAAGTGACTTTTGTGGCCACTGCTAGGACTTGAGCCTAGTTTTTCACTAGCTACGCTTCCCACCGATGTCAACCTGGCAAGTTGGACGAAGTCCTGAAGTGGCTCATTCCTTTTCAGCTGGTAATATCTTCATCCTTTTGCCCGGAAGACATCTGTTACTAGGGTGCAAACTGATTCTTGCCAAAAGGAAAAAAGAAAAATTAGCCAAGAGTGAGTTACGTGGCCTAAACCAGAAGAGCAGAGAAAATTAGTTCAATTTTAAAAAAAGTCTTTGCTTTACAGTTAACTAGAGTATTGGAAGGGAATCAGTCAGTAATTTCAGTTTTCTCACCTGTAATATGAGGGGGTTGCCTCGATGATCTCAGGTGAGTTTCAGCTCTACATTTTTTCCATTCCGTGATTCTAAATTTAGCTCCTCCTGAATATTCCTTCAACATCCAGCACTTACCTGGGAAAGCTTTGCTGCTTAATTTAGTAAGGAAGAGATTTAGCTTATAATGATAGAAATATACAAGAAATTGAAGATAGTGCCCAGTACAACTTAATTGCTCTGGGAAGGAAGGGTGAGAGTGAACAGAATGACAAATGTTATAGATGCCATACAACATCATTTTCTTATTTACTGATTTTAAGTTCTAAGCCCAATTGAAACAATTATATTAGCTGTTATTTGATTTTGTTGTGCCTAGTCCATCACAACAACCAAGAAGCTTGGAATGTAATGTAGCAACTATAATAAACAAAATTCTATTTAATTTCAGTTGCTGGAAGATACCAGAGGGAGGTAAAGTTACTTGAGGGAGGTAAAGTTACTCGAGGGAGGTAAAGTTACTCTCCCAAGTTCACAAAGGTAGTATCCAAAACTGAGAGATGACCTTAGGTCCTTTAGATTTCACAATTATAGGAAAGACCCATTATATCACCATGGAGTGATTGATATACACACACACACACATATATGACTCCTACATATTAGGAGACATATATCTATATGTCTACCACTATATTAGAAGTTAAAGGAACTGCAGAAATAAGCTTCTTGAGAGAAGGGATTTTCATTTTTGTAAACCTAGAATCTAACACAGTGCTGGCACATGATAGGAACTGAATAAGTGTTTGTTTATTGAGCAAAAGACCTCCTCACACAAAATAAAATTTACAAAGTTCCAGAATTTTTTTTAAAAATAAGAATATTCTGTATATTTGATGAAAATTTTTTTTTGAGATTACAACCTTAGTAATAAATGTTGATTTTATTAAATTAGATAACAAGATTTCTTAAAATTTTATATCCATTCCCTATGCCCCATGTCTTCTTTTTCTCCTGTTCTCCATGATGATATATGCCTTACTAACAGAATTTGACCCAATAATAACTTAGTTGATTATAATTTCAACAGATGAAACTCATGATGATATGGTAGCAAGGACATTCATAGGGAAGGGAATAACAGTGGTAAAAAGGGTTCAGTATATTTTCACTATTACCTAATTCCTTAATACTGCATATCTTGTAGTCTAAGCCTGTGATGCAATGAACTAGGTATCATCTGGAAGCTAGTTCTCAGACACCACTGGGCAAAAGTGGAACAAGTCAACAATGACTTAATTAAGAAAAAAACTATTATAGTTCTCCCTCTTCTCCTCTTGATTCTGATGTCTTTGTGGGAACTAATCTGGATTCTTTAAAAAACTTAATGACACCTAGGGTTTGGGTTAGTATCTGCTTTCTACCTTCAGAGATATTCAGTGGTACAAGTAATGAAATGGAGCCTATGAAAATGTTCTGAGCCCATCAATCTTTGATTTTAACCATAAATATTGTTTTTCATTATTTTACCATTTTTTAATGCTTGAATTACAGAAAGAAACTTTTAGCCTATTTCCTGTAGATGGCATTACTACATTATCAAGTTACTGTATTCTGTACTTCACCTGTTCAGTAGTTGGTAGTGGCTTGGTTGGATTGTAGTTAGATTTTCTAGTCTGTCTTATTCCAATAGTGACTCACGTTTATCTAGCACTTTAAAGTTTACAAGGCAATTTCTTATTACCCATGGAATTTATTGACCATATTTGAGGGTTTTCATTCATTCATTCATCAGGCATTTATTTATATGCCACCCAGTACAAGGTACTGAGGACAGGAAGACAAAAACAAAACAGTCCCTGTCTGCAAAGAGCTTACTTACTCCTGGGAAGAAAAAGTATACCCACAAGTAAGGAAATATGAGTAACCAACAATGGTGGAGATCAAGATAGGCCTCATGTAGGAGGCAGCAACTGAGCTGAGCCTTGAAAGAAAAACACAAGGTCCTATTCCAGATACCTCATCATTATGTGGATGTAACCTTGTATTCTTGGAGGTAATGCCAATAGAGTGAAATCTGGCAGATTTTTATCACATTGCAAAGGCTTTCAATACTGAACTGACAACAGATTATGTCTCTTTGATATGAAGAAGTTCACATGAGGAGAGAGCACATTCTAATAGTGGGGGGCAGCTTGTGCAAAGGCGTGGAGACAGCAGATCAGGTGTCATGTATAGACACAGTAAGTAGGCCAAGGTGACTGGAAGACAGAATAAGTGAGTGGGATAATGTGTGTGAAGTTTGGAAAGGTGGCGTTTTATCCTAAAGATAATAGGGAGCCTCTGAATCATCTTGAACAGGCTGTGACATGGTCAGCCCTATCAGTCTTGATGTTCTCACTGTAAATGTAGCCAGGAGACAAAAAGAAATTGAAGCTGAATGGAATGGGTCACAGGTCCTCCTTGTAGAGTCAAATAAAGAAGGCAGGGGGATTGGGTTTATCATGCATCTGAGGAAAATAAGAAACATCATTTCATGCGACATTTGGTAATCTCATATTGTAGTGACTATAATAAGCCTTGATAGGCTGCTAAGTGGCATAGAGGATGGAATTCCATGAGTTTAAACCCTCCCTCAGAAAATAGCTGTGTGACCCTGAGAAAATTTAATCTCACAGCCTCAGTTTCTTCATCTCTAGAATAGGGATAACAACAGACCCGATGTCACCTTGTAAGGTATTAAATGAGAGGATAAACGTAAAGTGCTTTGCAAAACCAGAAAGTGCTATATAAATGTTAGCTATTACTAAGAGGACCATGAAATTAATTGTCGCTTATGCACTACCAAAGGATCTATTACAGCGGATGATGAGGTACAGAGATTCTATGAAGAACTCAAAAAGACCCTCCAAATTTAATCAGCATGTACTTTAATAATGACTTCTCTGCAAAGGTAAGCATAGGATAGATAGCAAAAGTATGTTAGAAAAAAATGACTGAGGAGCAAATGAGAAGACTGAAAGATTTGTAGACTATATAGGAGCTTTACACCTACATATCACAATAGTTTTATAAGAGAAGAAAAAAGGTATAGGATATACTGAGCAATAAAAAGTCATAAAAATGAGAGGATTTCTCCTCATGTAGGAGCTATCTAATCAGAGGTATTTGTATATTCAGACCATTAACTTGCTAGAATAAAGCCCTAAATAAGTATCAAACTAGAAGAAAGAATAAAAAGGAGGCTATTTAGTAGGTAATCGAGGCCCCTCTGCGAAATGGATAAAATGACACAGATTATTATTTTTCCTAAAGAAGTTAACATTTAAATTAAATTAATCACTACAACAAAAAGACCCAAAGAGCCTGGAAACTTTTAAATATCTGATTTCCTTGCCAAGCAGAGAGATAGCATAGTACCAGTTTGGAGTACAATCTTATTTACAAGATCTTAGGGAATATGATTGTGTTGGGTATCACCTTACAAGTAATGAGTAACAGTAGAGGGATAAAAAAAAAAAAGTTTTCAGAAAGCTTGGAAAGAGACCCAAGTAAGCAAAGCTACTAAAATTGTTTTCTTAAAGCACAAGTCTGACCATGTCATTCTCCTCAATAAATTTCCAGTGGCTCCTTATTATTAGAATCAAATATAAGTTCCTCTGCTTAATAACATAGTCTCAACTAATCTTTCTACCCTTATTATATATTTTTCCCCCTCCAGGTAGTCTAGTCAAACAGGCCTCACAGATGAAGATCCCCCTCCTCTCTCTGTACCTTAGAATAGACTGGCCCCCATGCCTGGAATGTATTCCTTCCTTACCTCCAGTTCCCAGAATCCCTATGTACCTTTCAAAGTTGAGCTCAAATGTTGCCTTCTTTTAAACCTCTCCTGATCCAAACTTCTCCCCTGCCTCTTGCTAATGCCTTTCCCTCTAATCCCTTTGTATTTATTTTTTATAAATTTTTTTTATACTTATATGTGTACATGTTGTCTCCCTTTTCCAGACTACAAGCTCCTTGAGGGCAGGGACTATTTTCCCTTTTGTCTTTAAATCTCCAGTGCCTAGCACAATGCCTGGCACAGTGTAGGTACTTTAAAAAATGCTTGTTGAATTGAACACAATTTAATAAAGGAGTTGAACTAGATGGCTTCATTGTGTGTTGTTATTTGTTGACTAGATTTGGAGGATTTTATCAAGTTTTTAATAGTCTAGCTCTGCTTTTTCATACTCTGCAATGCATGTTGGTATATGAACTGCAGCTGTTTTCACTGTGGTCCCCTTATGAACACTGAAAGATGAGGTAACCATTTGGATTTTTACTGTTCTCTCTGGGTGCACCATGAAACCAGTATTGCCAACTCCATTGTCACCATCAGTGCATTTTACTGTAACTTTTATCATTTACGATAAGAATGTCAATATAGAGATGAGTTTCACTTTCTTTACCAGTTGTTTGTAAAGGTTTCACATATAACAAGTGAAATTAATATTTATAGTGCCCTAAAAACTTTATGATTTTTACTTACTGCACTCTAAGCATGGCTCTGCCCCTCTGCCACCACCATGTAGAAGCACAAAGAAGCTACATAGGATGGAAGAACATTTTTTTATCTTTTCTGTTTCAGGGTTCTCCATGAGCAAAGAGTTAATTTCCTAGTGGAGAAAGGGTTGTGTATGAGCTTCTTTATACAAAGATAGGTTGGCCCTTGGACAGCAGACACTTTATGTTGACAAGGCAGTGCTTTAAGCCTTTGCAGCTTGGTCAAACTTGTAGAAGGTTCTGTTCTGCTGGTGTAATATTTGATGTCCCAAGGTTACCTCCATGGAGTTTTGTTGAGGTTTTGGAGTATTGTTGAGGTTTCAGAGTTTACAAATGAAAAATTATGATCTAAAATTCCAATTTTCCCCTTTGCAACCTCATCCCCACTTACTTTTCCAACCTTTTCCCCTTTACATGCTCCATAATTCAGCCAAATTGACCTATATGTACAAAAGCACAAAGATAGGAGATAAAATGTCATGTAGGAGGAATAGGGAGGATAGAATCTGTGAAGAAGATGATAAACCGTGATACATTGCCTGTTTTACAGATGTAAAACCTAAGGTATCCTTAAAAATAATTTGTGAGGAATCAAAACTGAAAACAAAAGTAATTTGAATTGTGGCTACTATTCATATATCTCTTAGTTGAGAAGGATTTTTGAGTTTGCCAGGTTTTTTTTTGGTTTGTTTGTTTTGAATTTCCTTTTCAAGAATAGAGCTACCATTAGAATTTTCCATTTTCTAAGGCTGATTTCTATTTTGGTTCTTTCATACCTGTTGATTCTCCATTTGAGGAAGCTACCTGGTGCAGTTAGCCCATTGCTACCAATGCCTTAGTTATGCTCTACCTTATCCACTGGCCCTGGATACAAGAATTGAAGATATTTATTGGAATTAAGACTTACTTTTCTGATGCTTCATCATTGGGTAAAAGCTACCTTGGGTTCTCAAAGGTTATGAGAGCAAAGCACCAGCTATAATGGGCCTTCTGAGCTGGAAGGGCTTAGATTATGGGTCAAGCATAATTGTACTTTCTGATGATTGGCTTAGCTAAATTTGGAGAAGATAATCACCAGATTGAGCCTAAATAGTTTGAAGACCATCTACTGAATTATGATGGGATTATCCTCACTGATCAAGTTACAGATTCTTGAAAAAGTCAATTATGCATTTGCTGAATTCTTACACTATTCTGTAAATTCCGTGAGGTCAAGGACTGTATTTTACCTAAACTTTTTTTAATCTATTTTTCACCTAGCATAATACTTTACTTAATGCTTTAGTGCTTTAAAATATTTCTTAATTAGGAATTGAAAATAATTCCTAGTTTAGATGTCATTATTTCATTCTCAGTCACACCTCAGCAGTCATCTAACCCTACCCAAACCTGAATTCTGTCTGGTAAAGTAGGCTGTCTATGCTGGTTTCTCATCTTCCTTCCTGTGGATGAATGATGACAGACCCTGAAGTTCATGATAACAGATAGTTTAAGTACATAATGTGGTTTGATTGTTTAAATTCCCATAAATTTCTTCTAGACTATCCCCTTTTGGGTAGCCTTGATTTTTAAGGAAGCTTTTCCTTTATTAATGTGAAAGCTGTCTTTCTGTAATTTCTATCCATTGATCTTTATTTGAACCTCTAGGGTCAAGCAAAACATGTCTAATGCCTCTTCTACATGGTAATCTTTTAAATTTTAAGATAATTATCACATTCCACTAAAATATTTCCTTCTGCAGGCTAAATATCCCCATTTCCTTTAACCAATATTTATATGGCATGGTTTTGAGTCGCTTTCCTATCTTAGTCATGCTTTGAAAATACTATATCCTGTTTGTTCTAAAATATGACACCTAGAACTAGACAGAATATTCCAGATGTGATATGACTAGGGCCTAGTACAGAGGGACTATCACTTTTAACATGGACACACTATGCTTCCATTAATGTAGCCTATTATTAGATTGGAATTTTTGGCTATTTTACACTTTGACATATATTGAGTTAAGTTTACTAAAACTCTTAGATCTTTTTTTTTTAACATGTATTGCTTTTTAGCAACATCTCTCCTCTCCTATACTTGTATGGTTTTTTTTAAACCCAAATATATGACTTTATATTTATCCCTATTAAATTTCATCTTTTTAGGTCCAGACCACCTTTCCAACCTATCAACCTTTTTTTTTTTTCTTTAAATTTAGGGCTTGCCTTGAGAAACCTTCCTGCTTTTCAGCAGACTGTAGGTTCAGAGACTAATTTGCCAAGTTACTAGTTAGATGCCTGAAAGCAATTTTGACAGAACCTGAATCCACACTCCTAACAAAGACCAGTGATATCCCTTATTTTAATTTATCTTCCACGAATATGTGTATGTGTATAGTTTTTATAGTGCATACAAATATAATTTCTTTCTTCTTCCTAGTATGTAAAGAATTTCTGGAAAGATTCTACAGCTCCTTAATAACCAAAGGTGTTGACTTTTCCCAGGAAACTATAGAGAATGAACTAATCAGCATTTGTTTAGATTCCAAAGGAAAAGAAAATCGACTGGTATGGTAATTTTTCACCTTTCATTTTCACTTTTTTTGCTTGCAAATGACTGCTAATTTTGTCATTTCGCGTGATGGCCTTCTGTTGTCATCTAAGCTGCATGCTTGTCTTAAATATATCCAGTTTGGAGAACAATTCTAAATTGATCTTTGAACAAAATGGAACAAAGCATATTTTCAGTTACTTAGGAGTCAGTTTAGTTTTGCTTTCTAAACAGTTAAACTAAGGTCACCTGTTTCCAAACTTTTTATGAATATGAACATCTCTATTTAATTAAAAAAATATCAGGGATCCCCCTCTCATAGTTTAGTTGTATTTATTTATATAATGTGTAACTATTGATTGAGAAAATATAAATGACAAAAAAGACTTCAATTAGTGATTCAAGTAGTGATTTTAAATTAACTTGTTTAAATTAACTTGTTTATTAATCATAGCAGCATCTACGTATATTTAAAAAGGTGATACATATATCTGAGAGACCTTTATTCATCCAAGAGAATTTTTTATGCTATTAAGTTATGCTACGTATTTTGTTGTAGTTGAATGAAGATTAAAATGACAATGTTTGATATGGATATGAATTCATATGCTATCTGCAGTAACTCCATGTGAACTCATGAGGGTCCTTGATTCACAGATCATGAACCACTTTTATAAGCCTTTTAATAAAGTTTTATGTTTAGTGATATATATTTCTGCTCTGGTTAACGCTGTCGGCATAATCACAATCTTCTACAAATTCAAGTAACAATTTTTCTAGGTGAAGGTTGTGAGATACTCTCTTGGGGTTGGGCTTATGAAATTTCAACAAATTTATAATAATTCGGGATATCTACAATACTCCCTAGTGGACTATACCCCAAGGATAAGTCAGAGAAAGGATAGAGAGCATCCAGGCCAGAGGTTTAGGAAGGTTTTATCTCTCCAAGACCTCTGACCCAATCTTCCTTCTACTCCCTGCGTCTGGTTGGGGTATTGCACAGAAACATCATCCTCAGTCTCATTCCCTGTACCCCCAAGTAAACTGAGGGTAGAGGGTAGGATGTGGAGGGAAAAACATTTGAACAGACCATAAGATTTCAGGACTTAAGGATGAGTTTCCTTAGAGATCATCCAGCCTGACCCCTTCCTTTTACAAAGAAAAATTCAGGCCCAGAAAGATTAAGGAACTGTTAAGTACTTAGGGCTTGATGCCCAGAATAGCCTGAGAGCTTTTGTTGAACCAATTCAGTTGAAAGCTGTCTTCAGTGTCAGGGTTCCTTGTGAATCCACCTTGTTTAGAGAAGGCTATCTTTTTCAGGGAGCTAAGACTGGGTAGCAGTCTTCTCTTGATATGCTAAGATCTTACAGAGGACTTCCAGTCTCTAGTTTACTTTCTTCAGGTGATTGTCTTGGAGCTAGATGCACATCTTTTTCTCATTGATTAGTTCTCATACAAAATGGGAGTACTGGTATTGTAAAGGGTGACATTAACTATACTAGATGCCTGTCTGAGACTAGGAGGATTTCTTTTCTTCCCAGGTTACCTATTGTTCAAAATAGCTTCTAGTCATTGATCAAAAAATCAATCTCTCAGTCTTCTGATTTGTCTTATTTTAGATCAGAAGATCCCTGAATAGTGGTCTTGTTTTAGATTATTTCCCCTTGGGGAATCCTAGTCATTATGGAAACAAAATTACAGGCTTGGCTCCCTTTTTAAGCTGAAGTTATCTTTACAAAACCCAAGCATCTTACATTACTGTTCATACTTACATTGTATTTGCATTTTTTTAAAAATTGTGTTCGCGTATATGTATATACATGCTCTGTGTGTATATCCACATAGAGCAAAAATATACAGACAGCTATGCAAACACAATTTTTAAAAAATGCGTATGTATTATTGTATATCCTTTCCTAGAGAAAGGCAACAGGTTTTATTAGATAAAAGATGGGCCTTAGAGTAAGAAAGACCTGGATTCATGTCCTACCTTTCACACATACTATCCAGGTAGCCTTGGGCAAGTCAGTTAATCTCTCAGTGTCCCAAGGCAACTTTCTAAGACTTTTAAATTACAGACAGGGTGGTAATCTGCATTAGTAGAGGAAGTTTTCGCATCACTAGTTTCTTCCTATATGGATGAAATCATATATCTAGACAACAACAGCAAGACATTTTAACTCTTCTCTTGTATCACTGAGAACCATTTTATATATTAAATTCCTTAAGAAAAGGGAGAGCACATCCTTTGAATTTGCTTTGTAGTGTCCTTACCACTTACATGTGAAAATATGAAACTGCCGTCCCTTTAAACATTTTTGTTATTTAAATCTCTCCATCAAATACCTTGACTTTCATATTTTTACCTAGAATACTATATATAATAGATTCCTGAAATGACAGTTTATAATAGAAATGACCACAGCCATCACATAATTTATCTTTCTGATGTCTTTAATCATAAGAGTTAAGTATTTAAGGGTTAGATTGTAAGGACCAAATGATTTCTACTCTCATCTCTAGAGACAATCTTTGAGCTACTGTATTATTCTAATTTTCATTTTATTTCACACTGTAAATACTCTGCGTTGATTCTTTTTTTCAGTGCTATTATCTTAGAGCAACAAATGATGCAGCTACAAAGATCCTAAGTGAAGTCACTCACCCCATGAGTGCCCACGTACCAGCAATAAAGATATGTGAGAAGCTAAAGAAGATAGATAGTCAGATCTGCGAGCTTAAATCTGGTATAACTAGAGTAAAATATGTATATGTCAGCATCCCCAGTTGGTTGGAGATAGAGCCTTTTCTCCTCAAGGAACATATCTAGTTCCAGCCCACTCTTAGAATTCTGTTCAAATGACACTTTTCTCCATGAAGATATCGTCCTTGGACATAGATCTGGTCATGTCACTGCTTTGTTTAAAACTTTTCAGTGATTCCCTATTGACTACTGTTTGAATTCTTAAAATGTAAATTCCTTTGCTTAGCCACTCAAGGCCCTTCACAATCAGGGACTACCAAACTATTTTATACTACTCCTGACCACGTGTGTTATGTGCTGCCAAACCTTACCCCATTATTCCAATTGGCATTTTTCCATGTTTGTTCACACTGTTACCTACACTTGGAATGCCTTCTGCCAATTGAAATCTCTTACCCACTTTTTTGAGTGCCATTTCTTTCGTGATTCTCCTGGTCTCCCTTTGAACTTACTGTGCATCAATTTAGGTTTTTATAGTTATTTGTGTATGTCTCATCTCTTTCTGCTTGATTTCAAATTTCGTGAGCATGGGGACTGTCTCATTTAATCTTTGTATCTCCCCCACTGATCAGCACATCTTAGGCATTTAATAAATCTGTTGAAATTTGCTAAAACTGGAGCAGAATAGTCATCCAAAGAGAATATAGTTATAGCTCTTTATGACCCCAAGAAACAAAATTTTGCCTGTTTAGGCAATCAATAAGCACCATGTAAGGTGCTGTCTCCTGTAGGGGATACAAAGACAAAAGTGAGAAGTGAAAGTGAGTTTCTGTTGTGACTATATGTAATCTTCAGGACATAAAAGGGGAATAAGCCTTCCTTCCACGTGAAACCCAGCTAACTTAATAGAGTTAGGTTTGTAGGAATCAGGTTATTTATGTAAAACCAACTTTCGCTTCAGGCAAAAGTCACATTTAGCAAGAGAAACAGAAAGAACAAGTTGTGACAGATGACATTTGACACATCAAGTTAGAAAGTACGGCTGTTATTGTTCAATAGATTAGCAAGGAGAAGTATGGGTAGTTCAACAAGGTATAATTGTTGTTCTGGGAACTTTCCTTTAGGCAGAAGTGTCTTCCTAGCATGGGCCTAATTGTGTGGGGTTTTTTTTGTTTTTGTTTTTTGTTTTCTTTAGGCAATTGGGGTTAAATTACTTGCCCAGGGTCACGCAGCTAGTAAGTGTCAAGTGTTTGGTCTGAGGCCGGATTTGAACTCAGGTCCTCCTGACTTCAGGGCAGGTGTTCTGTCCACTGTACCACCTAGCTGCCGCCTATGGGCCTAATTGTTGAAAGGCTTCCAGTACAATTTAATTCCTGTAGGTTTTGACAGGGGTGGGAAACCTGTGGCCTTGAGGCCACTTGTGGCCTTCTAGGTCTTTAAATGTGGCCCTTTGACTGAATCCAAACTTCACAGAACTATTTTTTTTTCTTAATTGTTAAGATATTCTTAATATTATATTAACCTTTTTCTTAACCGTTAAGATATTGTTTTCTGCTACATGGAAGCATCTACAAAGTGAACATATTAATTATTATCAATCACTAACACTTTGTTTCAATTCAACAAATATTTATAAAACATCTACTACATATAAGACATTATGCTAGATAGGAATGTGAATTATTTAATAAGATCCTAAGCTTTTCAGTGCCCAGTGTATTCTAATTATATGAAATCTTTGAAAGCTCTTTTTTGGTTTTGGAGGATAAGATGGTTTTATAATAGAATGTATCCTAAATTGGGAGTGACGAAACCTGGGTCCCCAAGCATGTATATCTGACTTTGGACAAGTCTTTTCCACCTCTCTGAAGCTCAGTTTTCTTTTTTTTTTGTGAAATGAGCTGTGTATGATCTCTAAGACTCTCTTCAACTCTTAAGATGCAGAGAGAGATTTCTGAGAGCAGATTTTAACAGGGGAGGAGGTAGATATGTCTGTGACACTGGATATTTCCTGAGAAAGGCACAGCAATAGAGTCCTAGATAATCAGGGGCAGCCTGAATGAATCAGGTACCATGGGGTGGGGGCACCAGGAAAGGTGTGTGGGGTAGAGAAAAGTGATAATCTGCCTACTTTACAGTTTTATCTAATGATACCTCTGATTCTTAGGCTGCTTATTATAAACTGTTATTTTGTATTAGGTTTATAATGTAAATGGTTTTAACTTCAGTGAAGTAGGGCAAGACCCTTACATAAGCAAAACAATATCAAATGGCCTCTTATTAATGAGGAGGAATGACTACCTACAAAAGAAGTCCCTGGGGAACCAGAGAAATTAGCTTGGTACCTGTACAGACCTGTTCAGGTAGGGATTAGCTACTTTTTTCTTTTTTCTTTTCTTTTTAATTAATTAATTAATTTTTAGTTTTCAACAATCACTTCCTCGAGCTTTTAAATTTTCTCCCCCTCCCCCCTCAAGATGGCGCACAATCTGATATAAGCTATACATATACATTCCTATTAAACATATTTTCATATTAGTCATGTTGTAAAGAAGAATTGGAACCAATAGGAGGAACCACAAGAAAGAAGAAACAAACAAAGTAGAAGGGAAAAAAAAAGAGCAAATAGCATGCTTCAATCTGCATTCAAACTCCATAGTTCTTCTTAGTTTTTTCCATCATGAGACTTTTGGAGATGTCTTAGATTTTTGCATTGCTGTGAAGAGCTGAATCTATCAACGTTGGAATTAGCTACTCTTAACAGTCTTTCCTCTCTTTTTTTATTAATGTCAAATGCCAAAGCCTGAGTGTGAGCACCCACAAACACACACATACACACACACAATTGTGCAGTGCCAGGAAAGCAGTTAATTAATGCAAATTAGTCTTCCTCCTGAAACTGCTTATCTTGATATGCCCACTTTTTTACATTCTTTCTTTCTGCCCATTGTTGGCATGAAAACTGATGTTGAACAGAACTGAGTGAGTTGTCAGTTGCTGGTTTAAGCTCTGAAAAGTTGTGCTATTAAGGTCAGCCATCAAATGACGAAATGCAATAGGTATAGAGTTTGCTAGACCATAGGTTATGAAAGTGTCATTTAGTTGGAACAATAAGCCCAGCACTTTTTTGCAAAAAGAGGTGGGGAAGCTCTCTGAATATAAGCACCTTTTGAAGAAGGAAGATACTTTCTGAATAAATTTTTGGAAGAGCCTTAATTTTTCTAGTCCAACTCTGTTTAGATTCCAATTTATTTTTATTAGAATTAGCAAACACTTTATATCTCTATTTTTAAAATACAGTGTTTTTTTTTATTTTTGGGGGACTACATGACCATGAAACTGATAAAAATATAGATGGCCCTCAGTCTGAAATGATAATGACAAAGTATGGAAAGGAAGAAAGAAGAGTCTATGAATCAAAGTTGTTAGACTTTTTACAAATAGTAATTTAATTTTTGGTGCTCTAAAATGTGAGCTCTTTGTCCAATGATCCTCCAGTGTTAGTGGACCTATTATTAGAAGAACTGTCTTACATCCACATTGGCATTCTTGCTATTAGTTAAAGAAAGACATAAAAAATGCAGTAAAGGGATGATGGTTCACTCTTTTTCCTTAAGAGACAAATGAAGGAGTAAGTTTCCCTCTATGCCCGAAGTCAACTAAGGTATGTCAAATAGTGATCACTGAGGCACTGAAGTACAAGTAGTGGTCACCTGTTTAGGGGTACTGAGGCAGCTATTTGTCAACCTGACAAGAACAATAGTCTGTTGTCCTCCCATGGAACATATCCAAGACTTGACAGAGAACCTCCCAAGGCCTGTCAAAACCAGATGAAAATTACCTCCTTCTCATGTTTGATGTAGGCACAAATGATACTGTCAGAAGATACTAAGAAAGCGTTGTCAAAGATTACAAAATCTTGAGCAATAAGTTGAAGAGGATGCCCATTGAAGATAAAGTATATAAAAAAGAAAAACTGATTTGGGAAGTGAAGAAATAATTAAGAGATGGTGTTTGAATTTCAGGACCGCAGCTTAGAATATAGAAATGATAGGTTCCTGCACAGGGATGAAGTGAACCAGATAAAGACTAGCAAGAATATTTTTTTTTCTAATGTCATATGAATCTAATCAAAAGGGCTTTAATTGAAAAAGGCTGATGTAGGGAGAAAATACCCTACATAGCTCCACTAACGTAACTACTATAAAAAGTAGCTATAATACAGAAAAAAAGTAGTAGTTAAGTCACCTGGAAATTAATAGGACACAAAATAATAATAATAGTCAATAATAGCTAACATTCATGTAGCACTTACTATGTGCCAGGTACTGTGCTAAGTGCTTCATAATTATTATCTCATTGGATTCTCACAACAACAGGGGGAGGTAGATACTGTTATTATCCCTATTATATAGTTGGGGAAATTGAAGCAAATAGAGATTAAATGACTTACCCAAGACCACACAGCTAGTAAATTTCTCAGGATGAGTTTGAATTCAGGTGTTCTTGGCTCCAGGCCCCAGTGTCCTACTCAATGTGCCACCTAGCTGCCCTAAAATCCAAGAAAGAAACCAGTAGTAAAACCCCTGCCCTAAATGTTTACACAAAAATTCATAAAGTTCCAGTTATTTGTCAATCAGCTGGTAAATAAACATTTATTAAGTGCCTGCTATGTACCAGATACTGTGCTAAGCATACAGTTTTTGTGTATTTCTTATCCCCTAACTACAGTGTAAACCTCTTGATAGAAGGAACCATGTCTGGTTTCAAATTAGTATCCTCAGATTTCAATGCAGGCTCAGGGACTGAATGTAGCTCAGAGACCTAATAGGGGTTATTACCATTGTGTTGGATGTGTTTTCCTTAGTGTCATCTCTCTTATTTCTCTAAGAATTGGAGCTTTCCACAGTCCCCACTTGAGTATTCTCAGGTTGAGCACAATAACAAAAGATAAACCTTGCCTCTTAAGAGGCTTTATCTTTTGATATGTATATATATTTTTTATTTTCCAGAGAAGAGGTTGAACTTAGAATCAGTGGATCTGTTGAAGATGAGAGTGGCTGAGCTGAAAAGGATTCTCCACCACTGGGGAGAAGAGTGCGAGGCATGCACGGAAAAAGCAGACTGAGTGGATCTCATGAAGAAGTTGGCGCCCAAGGACACATCTACAAGTCCAAGATCAGACCTTGGATTGAAGTTTGAACAAAGCGGCTATGTTCGCAAGTCATCAAGATGAATGCCGTTCTGGCCTTAAACCATGTGAGTTACGAGCTACTGGTGTAGCCAGCTCGTGGCAGAGATGTCCTACATGTATGCCCTGGTCTCAGAATACATTGTTTGTCTGTATGAGTAATGCTACCAATGCTCAATGCCTTATATTTACTATGTATGCAAATGTTACGTTCCTTCCGAAGACGTCAGTCTTGGCTTACTTTCCCCTCTCACAACTTATTCCTAAGGTATGTAGAAAGCATTACCTTTTCCCTCTCTTAGAGAAGGGAAAATTGAGGCATTCAAAAGTCATTATAGGGTTTGTCAGTACTGACCAAAGAGGCCTTGTTCTCTTTTTGACATTAACCATTAGTCAAAAGTACTAGATTTAGGAAAAAAGAGTCAATTTTTCTTTTAAAAAATCCACTTTATTTTATAATCACTTTCAAGACAATTTCAAAACCCTAGTCAGGGTTTCACAAATATTGAGTGTCCTTACATTTAAAATTTGTATATAATTGTAATATGCCTTTGATATGTTTGATCTCCAAAATAGCAGATTTGGAGGAGCTGCTTTAAAATTATTTTCCTCAGCTCATGGCTAAATCAAAGAAGCCTAGAATAACTAAATAAAAATAAACGTTAGGTTGGATATGTGTAACAAGACTGGGAAAAATCAATATTTTTCTTATTCACAGAACCAAACCATTTAATTTTTTGCTCTTCATTGTCACTAGTTAGATATATATTTTAAAAATATGCAGCATATGTGTCTTAGCAATTCAATGGTTTAAAAATATAAGTGACATTCATTTTAAATCCTGTTCACATTTTTTCAATAAATACTTTTCATTCATTCCTATTCCCAGTGATAGGAATACCAGTAGCAGTCCTACCCCATTAGAACAGTACATTAAAATACTGTTTTTTTAAAAAATCTACTTAGCAAGACAATGCACTGCATTTTTGCCATTGCTCTTTGGCAATGTGGCTCAGTGCCTGAATTTAAATTCAGGACAACACCACTACACAGTAGTAAATTATATTGTGACAAATATGGCATAAAATAGCATAAATATCCTTTCAAAATTTTTTGTATTAATCTGTCCCTTATATTACCCTCTCCTAGCAAATAAAAAACTGAAAAAAAAAAGCTTTCAATGCATAGCTGTCTAATCGAGCAGAAAAATTCCTACGCTGGCCGTGTTTAGATGTACTTTTGACACAAGGTTAAATCATTGACTTCTAATGTGTAGGCGTAAACGTCTAAATGCCATTTTATGAATTTTAGTGTATAAAAGCTCATTTAAGTATCATCATAAAAATAAGAAAACTACTGTAAAATTGTCAGAGAATTAAAGTTATTATTTGATTCATCACAAACAATAGTTTCAAAAGTCTTATGGGATTAAAAAGTTATCAAGAAAAAACCCCACACAAACTTAATGGGAGCTCTTTTGGTGATCTTTTATGCACTTGGTTTTTGTCTACACTTTCACAGGAGTTGGAAAAGTAGAGGGAAAACTGCTCAGACTGAAATTATCCTTTGTGTTTCATTCTCACTTCCAGAGTCTCTACAGGCAAATGAGTCCTCCAACTAGGTAGTAAAGATGTAATATCCCCTCCAGAAAACTGGTAATCTCCGGGACCAAATTTTCTACTTAAGGTAGTATAACACTTAGAACAAAAAATCTTTTGCAAGTGCTAAGCATCACCAGTTAAGAATCTCTGTCATCCTCTAGAAAACACTTCATCCTGAATTAATGCATTTAAAATATAGTAGAATTGGATCCTTTTTCTGCTAAATTAAATTCAACAATTTTTTTTTTTTGGTGAGGCAGTTGGGGTTAAATGACTTGCCCAGAGTCACACAGCTAGTAAGTATCTGAGGCTGGATTTGAACTCAGGTTCTCCTGACTCCAGGCTGGTTCTCTATTCACTGTGCCACCTAGCTGCCCCTCAGCTAATTTCTTAAAAGCACCTTCTTACTATGTGTCTGAGACTACACTAAGCACCAGGGTAACAAAGATAAAAAAATGAAACAGTACCCACCCTCAAGAAACTTATTTTCTAGAGGAAGAAAGCAATTTGTACACAGGTGAGCAAATACAAAATAAATACAAATTTCAAGGTAAGGTACTATCAACCTGAGGAATCAGGAGATGACATTGAGTTAAGCCTTGCTGAGATCCAGTGGGTTACGAGAATCAGAGGTGAAGAGTTGTAAAACATGGAGTTGAGGTATGAAATATCATGTATAGGGAATAGCAAGTGGGCCAGTTTGGCTGAAATGTAGAGTGAGGGGGGCAGGAGAGGGGATATATAATCATTCTATAAAAGTAGGCTAAAATAAAAATATTTGTCATTTAAGGCCCTTCGAAATCTGGCTCTAAGCTAGAGTAAAGGGAAAAGCACTAGAGCTTCTGGAGTGAGGGACTGACAGGATCAGACCTGGATTTTAAGAATATCAATTTGGCAACTGTGTGGTGTGTAGACTGAGGAGGAGAGAAGTTGGACATGGGGACACCCATTAGGAGACTATTGCAGGAGGAGAAGAGGATTTGCATTAGAGTGGTTATTGTGGGATTGGAGAGAAGGATGCACAAGATGTTGTAGATGTAGAATCAATAAGACTTTGCTAATTATTGAATGAATGAAGAGCGGAAAATGATTTCTAGGTTGAGAACCTGGGTGACTGGAAGAATGATAGTGCTTCAGCAGAAATAAGAAGGAATGATATATTTAAGAAGAAAAAAATGAATTTAATTTTAGAAATGCTAATTTTGAAACGCCTATGAGATTCAGGTAGAGATATTAAGCAGGCAGTTGGAGATAAGGCACTTTATCTCAGGAGAGAAATGAGAACTGGATATTTAGATTTCAGAGTCACAGAATCACAGAATTGAGAGTTGGAAAGGAACCGAATGACCATCTAGGGCAACCCATGCAACAAAGGAATCCTCATGGCAATATACTTGACAATCTAGATGATAATCTAGTGGTCATCCAATTTCTGCTTGAAGATCTTCAAGGAAGGGAAATCTACCACATCTTGAGTCAATCCAGTCATCTGCTTTCAAATAATAGTGGAATCCTTGGGAGCAGATGAGATCACCAAGAATTGTGGAGAAAAGAGAGCACAGGAATGAGTCTTAAGGTGTTTCTACACATGGAGGCGAGACATGGATAATACCTGAAAAGAAAACTGGGAAGGAATAGAGAGGTAGAAGAGAATTATGATAGCAGTATCATCTAAGCATGGGAAGGAGAGAATATACAGAAAGGATAATAAGCAGTATTAAATGCTGCAGAGAAGTCAAGAAAGAAAATTGAGATTTCTGGGTCACATTACCAACAAAATGGAGGACTAGATCTTTTTTCCAGTCCCCATTAACTCTTAAGAAACCAAAAGAGAATAATCATGTGCCAGAAATAGAACAATTACAGGCTGACTCCAAAAGGCAAGAAAGCAAGAAGCTCAATGAAATAACAGCCTTTTGAATGAGCACTTCCAAATCCTTAATGTGCTTATTCAGGATCCCTCCCTAACCAACCTTCAGGCTCTCAGGTCACATGAACCAACCCATAGGCTTGTGCTTTGGGACCATACAGGGATTTTTCTTTTGTTGCAGAGACTGTCTCCATACCTCACTCCATTACAACAAGTAGGAGAAATTGAATCTTCCCAGCTGGAAGTGTGGGAGGAAGGATAAGTAGTTTGAAGTGTAAGTGTGTGTGTGTGTGTGTGTGTGTGTGTGTGTGTGTGTGTGGGTAGACTCAGCATCAAAGTGAGGGAACTCTAAGGATGTAGAGATTCTGCCCAGAACACCCTCCCCCAACTCTATAAAAGAAATGGATGTTGATTCAGCCTACCAAGAGGAGAGGATAGGGGCTAGAACTGGGACTAAGGCAGGGAGTCATGTGTGTGTGGCCACATACAACCTGAAGGAAAGAGGATTTAAATCCACTTGGAGTCAGTCCTGTGCTCCACAGGCTACTTAGGACAGGGACCAAAGCTGGCAGAAAGAAAATTCTCAATACTAGAAGAGACCAAAGCAGTGTTAAAAGTTAGTCTTGTGAGCATTCCTACCATCAAAAGAAGAGAAGTCAGAAAGTGAATGACAGGAAAATATAAGGGGAAAAAAGGCCAAGACCACCAAAAATTTCAAGAGGAAGAAAATTCGATAAAAAACCTAGAACACAAATGGAAAAAAAATCAACAGAGAAGGATTAGAAGGAATTAGAATTAGAAGGAATGATGAGTACTAAAACCTCAAAAAGTTTGCAAACTTTTCTAACCAAATATAAGACAAATAATGTGCTTCGATCTGCATTCAGACTCCACAGTTCTTTTTCTGGATGTGGACAGCATTTTCCATCATGAGTCCTTTGGAGTTGTATTGGATCTTTGCATTGATGAGAAGAGATGAGTCTGTCAAAGTTAGTCATCGCACAATGTGGCTATTACTGTGTACAATGTTCTCCTGGTTCTGCTCACTTCACTTAGCATCAGTTCATTTAAGTCTTTCCAGGTTTTTCTGAAATCTGCCTGCTCATCATTTCTTATAGCATAATAGTATTCCATTACATTTATATACCACAACTTGTTCAGTCATTCCCCAACTGATCAGCGTCTCCTCAATTTCCAATTCTTTGCCACCACAAAAAGGCCTGCTATAAATATTTTTGTACACATGGTCCTTTTCCCATTTGTATGACTAAGGAGCCAATCAACTTGAGACCAGGATATCAAGAAACAATTTAAGGGTTATAGGTGTCCTAGAGGAACATGATATAAAACATCCGAGGAAACAATACAAAAAAAATAGGATTACTGAGAAAAGGTCACCAGATTTAACAATAGAGATCACAAGATTACAGATCTAAAACTGGGAGGGACCTCAGAGGATATCTATTCCAATCACATTTTACCGATGAGTAAACTGAGGCCCAGGATGGTTAAGAGTCTTGCTCTGGGGCCTTTTTGCCCTGAGCATCCTTCAGATTTTTGTCCCTTTTTCTTAATGGTGAGAGTCTCCAGGATCTCCATTTTGGGGAGGGGCCCAGGATGGCCATCTTTCAGTCTTCTTCCAGCTCTG